GAACGCCAAGGACAGCTGGGACAGTCACCACAGCCACATCCCAGAACTGCAAGGACAGCCGGGATCCCTGTGGGGGTCTCTGCTGTTGTCCTCCAGCCACAGCTGGGAAGTAATGGCAGACACCAGCCATGGCGCACGCACATCTAGCTCCACAGCTCCTGAGCCCTCAACCCAGGGCCATGTGACCTGACAGCAAGCAACACAAGGCCTGCCGCGGGCAGGGCACATGGAATTAATGCTTCCTAACAAACACCAGAGGGCAGGGGAAGGCGATGAAGGCTGTCAGGCTGAAGAATAACAGATAAACTGCTGTCTTCTAAATTACCAGTATCTGCTACAAGCTCCCGCCACCTGTTTCTATTGCAGCAGCATCCCTTCAGGCCCAGCCACATAGATTCTTCCCAAAAACTGGACTGCCAGCATCTCCACATTTTCAAAATGTTCCATTAACTGCTTCAGGATTACCATCAAAATCTCCTCCAAATACACTGCAAATGACCTAACCAAACTTTTTAGCCCAGGGGAGACCGGCCCAAGCCTGAGAAATGTGCACTCACCAATGTAAATCTGGCGGTCAAACCGGCCGGGCCGCATCAGGGCCGGGTCCAGGATGTCAGGGCGGTTGATGCCGGCCAGCACCACAACGTTGGTGACTGAATTGAACCCTGGACACAGGAGAAGCAGGTGAGACTACGTGGCAAGCCCGATGTGTGCGTGGCAGGTAACCAGCCCAGCCTCCGCGAACCGGGAACCCCATAGCCTGGCTCAGGAGGCACAGACAAGTCCCAAGGCGTGGGTCCTCCTCATCCTGACTTATGACCGGTTCCTGCAGCCTCTGATACCACTTGGTGCTGGAGAGGATGAGGGCAGGCCAAAGGTTACACAGCAGAGGGAAGGGAGGAGAAAAGCTGAGTGCCCCACTTCCCTCCTCTCTCCAATCAGTGCCCTCCAGATATCAAAAGTCATAATCTAATTAGAATTACCGTTGGGTACTACAGTCAAAAAAATATTTAGGAAATGCTTTTGGCCTGTAAAGAAAAGTGTTACTAACACAGCAGGCCTGACTGCTGTCTTCAAAAAGGCCTGCTCGCAAGGGCAGTGTGTGGGCACTGTCATTTGGGAGCATTCCCACCATTCCCTGAGAACAGCAGCTCCCTGTGCCCAAACCCTTTGTGCAAAGCCTGGTGCATGCCAGGCAGAGGGTGCCACAGCCCTGGCCCCCAGCGAACACCCTGGCTTCCCTGTCAACATCTGGCATGCGTGGTCACAGCCTGCTGCTGGGGAAGGTTCCACACTCCACCTGGCCTCCCCATGACCTTATTCGCCTTCTGCCCTGGCTGATTTTGCTGTGTCCTTTAACGGTAATAAATCACAGCCATGAGGGTAACTACAAGCTGAGTCCTGTGACTTCTAGCAAGTCACCACACCGGGGGTGGTCTCAGGGACCAGAACACTGCCCTAAAGCCAAAGAGAAATCAAATCTGCCAGATGTCTAAGTGACAGCTCTCCCAAATCTGAAAGCTGGCACAGATGCCTGGACGCGCACAATAAGGCTTTAGCAGGACTGACAGGTGACCATCAGTCACATCTCAGCCAGAATCACTCTGGGAGGAGGCAGGCCTGGGGGAGTCTGTGAGATTCTGGGTGAGGCAGGGGCAGTGAGACAAGGCTCAGAGTGGAGGGAGCACAGGCTGTGAGCACACCACCCTGTGGGCACCGTCAGGAGCACCCGTGCTTGTCTACCTGATCCCCCTCCCCAGAGAGGCAGCTGTCTGCCCACTCCAGAGGAACCCTTTCCATCTGGGGGCAGGGAAGTGCACCACCCCTGCCTGTCACTGAAGGAGGCTTGTGAACCTAACACAGCTTTCTCCATCACATTTGCCTGAGAAGCCTTCCTTAAAACACAGCAATCAGGGATTCTCTTCTGGGGGCGACTTCAGAGAAAAACGCTGGTGCAGACAGTCGCCAAGCAGCTATGGAGGAAGAGGTGCACACCACAGGCTCTGCAGTTTGCACGCACCGTCCATCTCCACCAGCATCTGGTTCAGGGTGTTCTCCAGCTCACTCTGGCCTCCAAAGTGCCCTCAGCCTCGCTTCCTGCCAATCGCATCAATCTCATCAATGAATAAGATACATGGAGCATTTCTTCGGGCCGTTGCGAACATATCACGCACCTGAAAAGTGAATCCACAGGGTCTGTTTTGCTACCGGCAGAAGACAGGAATGCCGGTTCTCCTCCACCCTCTCCTTGGAAAGCTCTGACCCATTCTGCCTGGGTGCACCAGCACCTCCCACAAGTGCCCACGGCCAGGGCCCCACACCGAGCTATTCAAGTTGACCAGTCCTGGTCAAGCCACGGTGCTGAGGCTGCCTGCAGCGGTTCCATCCACCTACCCTTGCTGGCCCAACACCGGCAAACATTGCCAGGAACTCCGACCCATTCACAGTGATGAAGGGCACACTGGCCTCCCCTGCAGTTGCTTTGGCAAGAAGTGTCTTGCCTGTACCAGGAGGACCAGTGAGCATGGCTCCCTGAAAAAAACAAAGACAGCAGGTTCTTAACAGGACAGCAACTACTACGCAGGGCGGCAGCGGCTGCGCAGGTGGGCAGTGGCTGCGCAGGGCGGCAGCTGCTACACAGGAATTTGTTTTCCTCCACAGGTGACTTCTGAGATTGACTAAGAAGAATCCCATCACATGCATACCCTTATAACCTGAGAGTTTTTTCTTTTTATTATTTTTTTTTTCTGAGACAGAGTTTCACTCTTGTTGTCCAGGCTGGAGTGCAATGGCACGATCTCGGCTCACAGCAACTTCTACCTCCCAGGTTCAAGTGATTCTCCTGCCTCGGCCTCCCAAGGAGCCAGGATTACAGGCATGCGCCACCACACCTGGCTAATTTTTGTATTTTTAGTAGAGACAAGGTTTCTCCATGTTGCTCAGGCTGGTCTTGAACTCCCAATCTCAGGTGAACTGCCTGCCTTAGCCTCCCAAAGTGCTGGGATTACAGGCGTGAGCCACAGCACCTGGCCATCCTGAGATTTTTTGAGATTTTTTTTTTTTTTTTGAGATGGAGTCTTGCTCTGTCGCCCAGGCTGGAGTGCAGTGGCACAATCTAGGCTCACTGCAACAACCACCTTCTAGGTTCACCACGTAAGGCCAGGATGGTCTCCATCTCCTGACCCCATGATCCACCCACCTCAGCCTCCCAAAGTGCTGGGATTACAGGCATGAGCCACTGCGCCCAGCCAATCTTTGTTGCTTTTAAAATTAATGCATATTTACCACAAAAAAGGTCAAACATTGTAGAGATAATATAGAAAATGAAACCCTTCGTGTTCTGTACCCAGATGAGTCTGTTATTCCTGCAGGAAAAGATCCAGGGGTAGACTTGCTGGATCAAAGGTTCTGAATGTTTATTTATTTACTTACTTACTTACTTATTTTTTAATTTTTTTTTTTTTGAGACAGAGTCTCAATCTGTTGCCAGGCTGAAGTACAGTGATGCAATCTCAGCTCACTGCAACCTCTGCCTCCTGGGTTCAAGTGATTCTCCTGCCTCAGCCTCCCAAGTAGCTGGGACTGCAGGTGCCCACCGCTCAGCTGTTAAGACTGAGGACGATGGTGTTTACCGGCTGTTTTCTCTGCCTATTTCTACTGTGGCTTCACCAGTTCACGCCCTTCTATCACATCTGTTTCCTTTTTATGGATTATCGTCATGCCTGAATATTGGGAGATATAAAAGGCATACCTGGATTGCTGTTTCTAATCAAGGCTGGGGGCCAATATTTGACTATCTCAAAAGCGATCCTAAGGCTTTTGGGGATTTTTCTTAAGTGTTTAAGAAGAAAACAAAAGACATAAAGGTGAGAGGGGCCACAAAAGTCAAACCAATGCCAGCGTTGGAGCCCATAACCCAGCACTGCTCTTCCGTGGCAGGGTGGGGCCTGACACACGTCAGCCCGCTGTGGACAGTCGTGACACACTACAGCAGGACACCAAGTCTCCCGTACCACCCCTGCTGAGCTAAGAACATGCCGCAGGCAGAAGGAGGCTGGACTTGCCCACGCACACTCCATCCCACTCAGGTGCTCCAGGAAATTCGCCCACCGTGACCACACACACAGCCACTCTTCATGGTGGATTCTCACAGGGGGATGCCACAGGCAGTGGTGATTTTGGGAAATCACTGTACTTCATACCCAAGAAATGGAAAGCCAGATGGATCCTGACCCCACTAACTCTTTCCTGACATCCACAGCACAGCCCAAGGCCTGTGACATGACACCGGCTGACAGAGCCCCCTCTCGCAACAAGAGCCCATGCCTACTGGGAGAGAGGGGCCAACACACCACGTGAGGGGCCTTCCCTGGCACCTGACTGCCTCACACACTCCCTCAATTACACAGATTTTCCCCAGCAAATATATGCATATGAAAAAAAATGTAATAGATATAAATTTAAAAACAAACAAACAAAAAAATGGGTGCAGTGGCTCACACCTGTAATCCCAGTACTTTGGGAGGCTGAGGCGGGTCACCTGAGGTCAGGAGATCAAGACCATCCTGGCCAACATGGTGAAACCCCATCTCTACTAAAATTACAAAAATTAGCAAGGCTTGGTGACATGCACCTGTAATCCCAACCACTCAGGAGGCCGAACCAGGAGAATCACTTGAACCCAGGAGGTGGAGGATGCAGTGAGCCGAGATCGCACCACTGCACTCCAGCCTGGGCAACAGAACAAGACTCTGTCTCAAAAAAAAAAAAAAAATTCCGAAAGGCAAAGAGAACCACCCACTGCAGTGCCTGACTATGAGCAGAGGTGAGTGGCAGCTGCCAGCAGGGCCCCACCACGAGCAGGAGGCCCCAGCTCTGCAGGT